GACAATTGATTTATGTTTGTTTTTTTGTTCGCTCACACAAATGACCAATGTTCATCTTTGTCATAATCAATTTTGAAAATTTTTTTTCAAATCCATGATGGTATGTGGTGTTTACAGCATGGAGGGCAAAGCGAGAGCTTGATTTATGTTCATTTTTTTTACTCACTTTCACATTTTGGTTTTTTTTTACTGATCGAATTCAAATCATCAACGGCAATTTTAATCTTCTCCATAACATCATCATCATCAAGGCATTGAATTTTTTTTTTTTTTTTTTTTGAAATTGTCCATTTTCTATCTTGTCGCCAAACCTGTGCTTCTGCTTTTTTTCTTTCTTTTTTTTTCTTCAGGAATTCACATTCATCCAAAATGTGATTCGTTTTTAGATTCATTCTGATGACAACGACGACTATCTATAAGTTTTTGACTTTTTATTTTTCATTTTTTTGTTGTTGTTTCACTTTACGAACACTGATCTAATCATCGTTCGTCTTTGTCACATACCAATGATAATGTACCACTGTTTGTCTGTGTGTGTGTGTGTGTGTTAATGACTCGAATTTTCAACCGAATCTGTCAATGTTTGTTTTATATTGAATTTCACTTGGTAACACCATTTCAAATGGTCAAATATACACCTTTTTTTCGTCACCTTTCTTGATTTATTTAATAACGAATTTTTTTTCTCTATTTTCCAACACAGATGTGGTCAAATTGAAAAAAATGATGAAGTACTAACAATCAATGGAATATTATTACGTGGATTGAATGTGAACGATGCATTACATCATTTGAAATCGCCAGAAAAACTTGTTCGAATTGTTCTTGTTAAACAACGTTCATTGATTATTACAACACCATCATCGTCATCATCATCATCATCAACTGGACAACCACAACAATTATATTCGGCAATTTATCAGAATCCAAAACAATTATATTCATCAACAGCAACTATACAACCATTGCCACCACCACCATCATCATCAACATCATCATCATCGATCGACAAATCATCAATTAAGTGGTGAAATTGATCTGGATAAAATGGCATTGATAACCATTTCAAATGATGATTGTCGTAATAATAAAAAATTATTGGAAAAATCTATGCCTACCTCTATAACAAACAACAACGCTTCGCAATCATCATCAATCACACCAGGGAATAATGATAATAATATTCAATCATCATCAACATCAACGTTGACAAGATCTACATCTGCACCGTCTAAATCGAAAAAATCACTTGGTGCACGTTTAGCATCATTGTTGAATCGTAAAATCAACAACAACAACAACAATAACGATGACAAGAAAATCTAATAATAAAAATCATACATTACCGACGTCGTATTCAACATCATCAATATCGACTACAGCTTCGAATAAAAATAAAAATGGCAATCATCATGAAACAAATAACAATAATAATGACGATATTATCATTGATTATGATGATTATAATATTATGCGTACACCAAAAATTCGTTCCAAATCAATTGGTAATATGTCATCATCGATATCAGTACCAAATGATTTATCTGGACCAAATAACAATAATAGTACCACTAAAAAAGTACATATTATTGCCAATAATAAAAATGATCGATCGGATAATTCATCATCTGCATCTGCATGTAAATTACGTTATATATCATTAAATAATGTTGCTGGTAATTCAATTTATGGACATTTTAGTGGCCCAAACAATAACAATAATACTACAGTGCAATATTCACAACCAATTGCATCTACAGCAGCGGCAACAATAACGACAAGACAACATCAAGATCGTTTATATAATCCATATGTTGCCTTTAAACAGCTTCAAGTACAACAGGTCAACCAACAACAACAACAACAACAAAATCCAAATCATTATTATTATCAACAATTTATTCATCATAATAATAACAATCGATCGATAATTGACAATGGTTCAATATCTCCATTGAGCCAAGCATTATGTACATTACCACGAACAAATAAACCTAAACAATTGAATTTGATAAACAACAACACGACAACCATGAATATGATGGTTGAAACGAAAAAATCCAACGGCATTGCTGTTAATGGTGACCATGTTGATGGTGATCTACAACATAAACAATCAAATCAAACATCAAAAGATTCGTGTATTAGTTATGCTGAAAGTTTACTATCGCCAACAATGCTGCAACCGATCATATTTCCATCGATACAAGATAATAATAATAATATCGGTGGTTCTAGTTGTGAAAATTATGGCAAATCGAATAATAATAATGGTGCTGGTGGTAATGGTGGTAGTAACCGTATCTATGTTAGAATGAATCGACAATCTAGCCATCATGATAATAATCATTATAGCAAACAACAACAACATTCGATGACATTGAATCCAAAAGTTTTGGCCGAACAACAACAAAATGGCCATCATCATCTGAATTATAATCATCAAATTAGTTTAGAATCACAACCGCAAACAATTACATTTAAAAAAGGACCAGATTGTAAAGCACTTGGTTTTCTATTGTTGGTGGTATCGATTCACCAAGAGGTGAAATGGCCATCTATGTTAAAACTGTTTTTCCTGAAGGTCAAGCAGCTGAATCAGGCCAACTTTCTGAAGGTGAGTTGAATTTTTTTTTGTTGTTGTTGTTGTTGTTGTAGATGCTGTTGTTGACACATGTTTGAATTTTATATATGCACATGCAAAACATCGTATTCTTGTGTTTGTCGTCTGTTGACATTTTGATAAATTGCCTTTTTTTCGTTATTCATCTTGTTATATATTCGTTGTGGCTAATTTTTTTTTCTTTTCTCTCTGTTTTTTTAAAAAACTATATACAGGTGATCAGATATTGTCGATCAATGGCCAATCAACTGACAATCTAACACATGGTGAAGTGTTACAAATGTTTAAACGTGTCAAACAAGGAGAAATTGTATTACGAATATTGCGGCTAAATTCAGCAATGAAATTTTCAAATAAATGGTATGTATTTTATCATTAAGATGAATGAAAAGAATGTTTATCTAGGTCAAAAAAATGTTTCATTTTGGTTTATAAAATTGAAAAATTATCTAGCTATTCATCTTCAATCGCTAATGGTAGTGGTGGTGGTGGCGGCGGCGGCGGTGCATTATCCAGATCATGTTTTGATCTAGATTTGATTACCGGTAAATAATAATGATATTCATTCGAAAATTGGTCCATGATAAAAACACAAGACAAAAAAAAATGTCGTGATATTCGTGATATGTGTACACACACACACACACAGAAAACTCATCAATATTTAGAAAAGACAACGACGACAACGCTATCATTTCATTCATTATCATCCTTTCATCATCATCATCATCTATTTTTCAATTTGTTTAAATTCTGATGGATCTCGCAAACATATATGTTGTTGTTATTTGTATATATACAAGACATTCATAATCATTGTTTCTAAATCAGTGATGTAACAAACATTACACAGATAGACAAAGATTGCCTCCTTTTTTGAAAATAAAATAAATTCATTTTCTCGAAAAAAAATCCAATTCATTTCCGGTTCAATTGAATTTTTTTTCTTTTATTATTCTGCTTCTGTATGTTTCAATTGAGAAAATTTTTTTCTTTTCTTTTGTGTTTGTTCAATGATAATGATAATCGGTGATTTTGAAATAAGAAAATTTTTCTAATCACGACTTGATGTGTTCCAATGTGTACCAACAACACCTGTACGCGTAACCACAGCTTGATCATCATGTTGTCAAGAATTCGAACAAAACAAAAACAAAACAAATTATCGATAGTATCGATATATATGTTAACAGAACGGAAATCTGTTTTTTGTTCTCTATAATTTGGCCATTCAGTTCATCATCTGAGCTCAGCATCGATTGTCTTTACCGAGGTCACATTGTAACTGTTTTGTTTTTTGTTGTTGTTGTGTTTTGACGGTCAAACTAAACAAAGTTGAAAAAAATGGATTTCAATTTTCGAAAACAAATGAAATAAAGCATCTGTTTTACGTTTTTTTTCTTGTTCATTCGATGGCACGATCGAAATATTGTTTATCATCCACAATGAATGCAAATACAGTTATCATCATGAATGAAGCAAAAAAAAAAAAAAAAAAAAAAAATTTTGTCGATCATCGACATCAAACAAACAAAAAACGATTTCGACATTTGGTTGGCCTTTTTTTCCACAAAATCACGAATAATAACGGCGTCATTTGATAATTATAATAATATGAACAAAAACAAAAACAAAAAAAAAATTTTAAGCAATTTCTCTCCCACAACTTTTCATCAAAATCGATCCAGATTAGATCCACAACAACAACAACAGAAAGAAACCATCATTTTTGGCCATTTATGGACAAAACATTCGTAGCCATCGTCCATCATCATCATCATCATCAGTATCCTCTTAATGGTTTGAGAAGAACATTGTCGCATATACTAAGAACTTGAATGTGTTTTTTTTTTTTTTTATAATAAAAAGATAGCAAAATTTCACATTTCATAAGAAATTTTTTTTTGTTTTGCGTGTGCGTGTGCGTAAGCACTTGTTGCTTTTGATCATATGTTTTTTTTCTTACTTGCTGCTGCTGCTGCTGAACATTATTGAAAGTGGGCGCCCATAAGGAATTTACATTCGAAATTTTTTTTGTTGTTGTTTTAATCAATTTTGTGTTTGTAATCAAATTTTCATTAACAAATTTCAATTATAATCATCATCATCATCATCATCATGAAGGAATCTTGGTGCCCATTTTTAAAATTTCAATGTTTAGTTTTGTTGATTAGATACATCTTTAGATACGTGGTGGTAATATTTACGATGATAATTACGATAAGTTGTCGTTGTTGTTGATGATGATGTTGGCAGAAATACAAAAAAAAACAACATCCAAAAATTGTGTAGGCAAACTTTGAATTTTCTTGAATTGAATGATGATATATGATGGTTGACGTTTAGTTTACAGTATACTGACGACAATCATCAAAGATATGTATGTATGTCGAGTTTATTAACATTTCACATAAACAAGATTTGACAAATTACAAATGATCAAGTTCAACATTTGACATTCAAACATTGATAACGATGAATTTATGAATTTATTTACAGAAATTATGATATGATATTTTGTTTTGGATTCAAATCAATCAATAATTTTACCATCACATTCATTGATTGTTGATGTTTCATCATCATCATCACCATCATTGTGATGATGATTATTAGATTCATATCTGGTTTGATGTAATAAAAGATGTACTAAACCACCACGATTATTCATTGCTTGTCGTATTTTGTTTTGTTTTTTGATCAATTCATCATTTTTATACATTTGTTCCAATGTTTCTAGATCCAATACAGCTTGACGAACCTTTTCCCAGCCATAATGTAGATTACATTTTTTACGCAATAAACGGCAAAAATTATTCGCTTCATCTTCAAATGGATCATCGTCGGATCGTAATGGACAGCCACAAAGTTCATCATCAGGAATTCTTGGTTCTTTTGTGTGTTCAGGACAAATAACACGAAGTCTGGATGTTTCGATGGAAAGAATTGAACGAAAAAAAAAATTGGATTTAGATAAATAATCGAAGAGAGAAAGGTTATTCATACCTTTTACAATAGGTTTTATTACTTGGATTATAAGTTTCACAGAATAGTGTATTATTTGTACTTCTATTTGATCCAAATGAAGCTTGACTTTCAACTTTGTTGAAACAACGTTCCATATGTTTCAGTGCCTAGATAAGACATTCATGATTAGCATTCGTAAAAATTGAATTAAATTTGACTCACCATTTTGACCGAAACTTCTTGTGCACAGGTAACACAACTGATCGTATCATTACCAGTATCATTTTCATTTTCCAATATTTCAGCTTCTTCTTGCTCGGTATATGGTACACAATTTTTACCACGAAAAATTAGTTCATCTAATTCCATTTTTTTCTGTTCAATTTCTTTCATTTTTTCCTGTGTTCTGATTATTTCAAGTTCAATTTCCTCTAGTTCACGTTTAGAACGTTCATCTGCTGCAGTGGGTACTGATTGCCATTCTTTAATTCGTTGAGGTAGTATGAGCATTATACGTTTATCAGCCAAATTGATACCACATTGATCGCTACAATATTTGGAACCTTTACGAGCTGCATAAATACAACCAGGACCATAACATTGACGTGGTAAAATTGATTTACTATCATCACCACTTTCATCCGAATGTGCTTTCGATCGTCCATGACGATGTTGAGATTTTTTCACAACATTCTTCTTACGACCACGATTTCCTTTTCCTTTTGCTTTCGTACTTTGACCTTTTTTACGGCCTCTTTTCGTTGTCTTTTGATTGGATTTTTTTGGCTTTTCTTTCGATACGTTTTTACGATATTTTCTTTTATGAGTTTTTTTCTCATTCAACAAACGAAAATCAGCATCATCATCATCATTATCGAGATCATCAGGTGAATAATCATCTTCCATACGATGTTTGAGTGGATCATCGAATGAATCCATGATTTTAGTTGTACGATTCGTTTCAGAATTCATCGCTTGTGAACGACACATGAGGCAATAATATTCTTTCATTTTTTTCGCTTCAGATTGAGTGATTTTGACACAATCTCCATGAAACCATTCATTACATTTATCACACATGATCATGAATTTATCCGTACGAGAACTACGGCAAAGACAATATTTCTTTTTCTCCGTTTTTTTACGATTCGTTTTCTTGTTGTTATTGTTGGTGGTGGAATTTTCCTGTTCAACACTATCGTCATCATCATTATCAGATACATCCATATCTTCAGATTCATCTGAAAGCATATCGGGTAAAAATTCATCATCGTCATCTTGATCGATACCCATTTTTGATTTTTGATTTTAAAATCAAACTTTGTTCTATTTGTCACACATGCATGCAATGAATAAAATTTATATAAACAAAAATGCTCAGAATGTTTTTTGAAAACATTGTATATGAACGGCATAAGCCGCGTTTCATTTTGGGTGTTGACATGTTTGCAGATATTATTGTATTTGTTTTTGGGCATTGTTGACTCTTGACAAATTTTTTTTTCTCATTTTTGGCTTTATATTACACTCTTTTCGTTGTTTTTAATACACACACACACAGACAATTGTCATTGGGATCACTTTTTTTTAATAAATGAATATCCGGCTTATAAAAAAAATTTGCCAAATAATACAATACAATAATAATAGTAGGAGAAGGACAAATCGTTGATGATTGTTTGCTCGATTCTGTTTGTTTTTTTTTCATTTGGTTTTTGTGTATGTGTGTAATTCAATGTTTCAATTTGATCAACAATCATTGAATCTGTTTGATTTCGTAATTCATCTCATTTTTTTAAAGGTATGATTGCATTCATCATAAAAATAGATTTCTGGTTTACATTTCTGGTTTTTTTTTTCATTTTGATATTTTAGATCCAAAAGTAAAATTTTTTTTCTTATTTACAACAAAACAAAATAAAAAAAAAATGTCTGCAACACTTCGCCCATATTTGTTGGCAGTACGGCGAACATTGGAAGCGGCCATTTGTTTGGTAAATTTCAATTCACAAGTAGTTGAACGGCACAATAAACCAGAAATTGAAGTTAGATCAAGTAAAGAATTATTATTGAATCCTGTGATCATATCCAGAAATGAACGTGAACGTGTATTGATCGAATCAAGTATCAATTCGGTTCGTATATCGATTGCAATCAAACAAGCCGATGATATTGAAAGCATTTTAGCACATAAATTTACCCGTTTTATGATGATGCGTGCTGATAATTTTGTGATATTACGACGTAAACCAGTGAATCTGTCATTTACAGCCAATGGTCAAAATGTTGGTACATTAACATTGACACAACAGCAACGTACACCGACCGGATCATATTCATCGATCAATGGTTTCAAAGATGGTGGTCAATCACCACAATATGATTATGATATATCATTTTTAATTACAAATTTTCATACCGAATCCATGTATCGATATAAATTGATTGATTTCATCATACATTTTATGGAAGAGATTGATAAAGAAATTAATGAAATGAAATTGGCAATCAATGCACGAGCTCGTATTACTGCTGAAGAATTTTTGAAAAAATTTTAATGCAAATTCAAAAAAAAAAAAAATTAACTAAACACCCATATTCATTTCATATTCCTCAATTCTTTTTTTTTTTTTTTTCACTAAATTCCTTATTGAATTTTTTTTCCTAATTAAAACAAAAATCTGAGCATCAATGATTTGTATAAAAGCATGTTCATCTTTTCGGTTATTATTCATTTGTCAAATTTTTTTTTCTCATTTTTTCATCATCATATGAATCATTATGAATTTCAATAAATTATTTCCATTTTTTTTCTCAAATGTTTCAGTACTATTAGTAGTGGTAGTAGTGAAGAACAAAATTGAAATCCTAACCTTGAAAATGGCATGGATTTATATATTTATTGGTTTTATGATTTGTCGAATAAAATGAACAATGACAACAACAACAACAAAAATTATTGAATCTTAATTGTTTGGTATGTCAAGATCATCTTGAAATCAATTTTGTTTTCAATTATGAATCGATATTTCGTTTGTTGTCAATGTTAATGACTAATTTTTGTTGTTGTTATCGTTTCATGATTGTCATCATCATAAATTCGTTTATTTTTTATGATCATGATCATGATAATAATAACAGGAGGGCAACCGAACATTAAAAAAAAACAAGCGATCTACCTCCATAGTAAAATTTGTCCTTGTTTACTTCTGTTGACAACGAGAACAAATGATGTTGACCATGATGTTGATCGATTGATGATGATGATGATGATGATGATGATGGAAAAAAATTGGTCCAGTCCACCATTTTTGATTATTGAAATTTATGATTTAGGTTGAAAAAATTTGAAAAATCATTGAGCAATTTAAAACTCTTTTAATTTTAATTTCAAATTAGGTTTTCGATATGAAATTTTTTTAAATTTTATCCATTAAGATATGGCAATAATGAATGTGTGTGTGTAAGAATTAATTGGCTAGTGATCGTTAAAGTGTGTGTGTGTGTTTGGAATTTTCTCATTATTGATACAAATCAATCTGTTTTCTCTGTTTTGTTTTTTTGGTGACTAATAAGTTAGATTATAGTTTTTTTTGGAAGCGAAAATTTTTCTAACAATAATTTGGTGAAGGATTTTTGCATTGGCCATAACCAAATGAAAATTTATCAATGGCAAAGAAACCAAATTTGCCTTGTTGAAAATGTGTTTCCAAAAAGAAACGTGGATCACCATCACTTAGGTCCAATTGGATTTCAATTTCATTCCATTGATTCGGTTTATTTTGAACATCGTGGTCAGCAAAAATGCATTTATTCTCTTTATCTTGTTGTATGACGAAAAAACTTTGTGGTCCATCACCAGTAGTATAATATGATAGAAATATACAGGCTTTTGATTGTGCAGCCGGATAATAATGGGTGATCAATCTAGCACCAGGATAACGTTGTACACGTGGTGAACGTAAATTCAACAACAATAATCCACGACGTCCAAACAATGGTTGTCGTGGATTATAATATCGATTGAATTGAGCAAGATTATGTTGATTACGAAAATGACAAGCATCCACCTCAAAATGACAATCCCAACGAATATTATCAATAGCATATGGAGATCGTGATTGATTTGGATAAAATAATTGTGGCTCTATCGATTCGATCATTGTGGCCATGACAATGAAAAAGATGAAAATTTTTATCACTTGAAAACGTTGCATCTTGTTTCGATTGATTGATTGATTGATTGATTGATCGATCAAACGATGGATTTGGAATTTGTCCAGTCTAAATGTTCTGCAAAACTAGAAAACTAGAAGGGGAAAAAACACTAAATTTCACGAAAGACAATAATTGGCGCAATAAAATATAAATGATATGAATATTGATCAGGGGGATTGGATCCCGAAATTAATTTTTTCTTAGTTCTTTGAATCAAAAAAAAAAAAAAAAAAAAGTTGGCAGTTTTGATGGACTAGTATTTTTGTGTTTGCATTTTTTTTTCTTTATAATGATGCTAACTGATTATTATGGTGATGATGATGTTGATGATGATGACAAAAAGATGGAATACGATGATGGTGATTGTCTGTGTCTGTGTGTATGTGTGTGTGTGTTGATTTTTCTTTGTCGTTATAATTGTAATAATAACAATAATCATCAATGATCAAGAACAGAACAGAGCATTATATATGGGAAATGTCAACGATTAATTTTAGTCTATTAAAATCTATGATGATGATGATGATGATGATGATGGATTTCTTTTTCCCTCTTTCACTTTCTATGTGTGTAACGTTTCGTTTTTGTGGTTTTTTAATGATGATGGCAATATTTTGTTGGTATTAATAAATACACGAAAGACCAATGATGAAGATGACGACAAGTGATGATTGGTTGGTTGGCTGGTTGGTTGGTACTATCTATCAATAGATCTATGTTGTAAACGATGCAATTTTTAATGAATAATTTGAATGAATAACTGAAATGGAATGGAATGGAATTGATTGATTGATTTTTATTTGTATTTGTTCGTTTCACAACTAATAGAGCTTTGATTTGTTGATTTATTTGGAATTATTACTATTGATTTTGATCAATGTTATGCATGTGTGTGTGTGTGTGTGTGTGTGTGTGTGTGTGTGTGTGTGTGTGTGTGTAGATTGTCGTGGAAGCATCGGTGGTCGTGGCAATAATAATATCGTCGTTACTGTATCGTTGTCATGTATATGTTATTGGTTTTTTTTTTGCTTCCAACATCTTTAGATGTGATCAAATCAATCCACACACGAGATAGAATGGTGATTGAAAATGAAATTTAGAAAAAGAATCTTTATTGGTTAATAATGGTGATATGATTTATTAATGACGTAATGATGTGGTGAAATTTTCGAAATCATCACCAAAAAAAAACAACAAACAACAATTTTACGAGATGGACAAATTCTACACACACACACACACACAACAACGTTGACAATGATTATTGATTTCAAGTATTCAAATTACGGAAATGAATACTTGAATGAATTTTTTTCTTTGCTAGTTCGTATCACACCTGAAAATTGACAATCACACATCAAACATACACACATACACAGACACACACACACACAGAGATATATGAATGACGGCTATTTGGTTTCGAATTGACGAATTTAAACATGTGTCTGTGTCTGTGTGTGTGTATATAATCAAAGTTCGAAATAAATAAAGACAAAATATTTTCGTTTTTCGTATTCGAATTTTCCTATTTTTTTTTTGTTCTTTGTATTTCAATTTTCATGTTATTTCTCTTTTTCCATTTCTAATTTCCAACCATGTATGGTTGCTGTGTGTTGGATACCGGTTAGTGTTGAGATTGTTATTTCGGCGGTTTTTTTTTCTCGGAATTGTTGAAAACATTATTTCCATTGGATTCAATGATATGATTTGTTTTTTTTTCATCTGTTCTGGACTACAATCACGTGGATACTATGAAATCACATTGTATGTATATGTCCATTTGATTATGTCTAAGCATCAATTTTTTTTTTTTTGCACAACAACAAAGATGATGATGATGATTACAAACTAGCAACGTGCGGTTTTTTAATATTTAATATTTTTTTTTTTTGGCTGCCTGATGTAATCGTGAGTCGTTTAATCATAATAATCATCATCATCTGTAGTTGTGGTGGTGGTGGTGGGTGGCCACTACACCATATAAATGATAATCAAGATGGTAATTTATCAAAAAAAAAAAAAAATTTCAATTTATTATTTATAATCAAATACCACACAGACAGGATATAAGGAATGTCGGATCACAACAAAAAAAAAGAAAAAGATAAAAATGAAATTTGGAACCCCAAACAAAAATATGATATGTTTTTAGGTAGGTAGACGAGTAAATGAAAACAATCAGACAGACATAAAGACAGCAAGATATGTAGATGATGATGATGATAGACAATTGAAAAATTTGTTTTAATTATCGATGATGATGATGATGATGATATGTGAGGCCAAGAAGAAATTGTCGTCTTTTTTTCTCAAAAAACGATTTCGATTTATTGCCTGTATTGTTCGTGTGTTTATTATATTCGCTGTTCCAGGATCACAATACCAGAAGTAGTCTGTATGGCTAATGCGCCGTATCAGATCATTAAACAAATCAGAGAGATATATAAAAAGTCTATGTGAACTGTAGTGATTCAAATTTCTTTTTCATTTTTTTTTCTTCTGAATCAAAAAAAAAAAAATTTTTTTTTTTTTCATCGACTGTTCTGTGTGTAACTCATATTTTAGTTTTTTTTTGTTTTTGTTTGATTTTTTTTTGTATGTGGACAAAAAAAAACTTCCGTATAGTTTTTGTAGGTTATATTTCAACCATATACCACTTTTGGGTGGTCGTGTAGCTGTTTTTTTTCTCCACCTTGGTTATCTATGGCAGTATCTATGGATTGAAAAAAAATTCCACTGATAAAATCCAGGAACCAAATATTATCGGTAATATGAGCATTGACATTGGATTGGATTGAATATTATTATTATGAGCAAACTCGGTACAAAATCTGTCTGTGTGATACATAATAATTACTATTTGTTACTAGGGCCAAGACAAAAATGCGTACACATAGACATACTCGAGACATGCATCATCATATGATAATAACCAGAAATAATATATATAGCTCTAGAGATGCTTTTGCTAGGAATTTGTTTACACACGAATTCCTGTAGTTAAGGTGCTATATTCGAAAATTATGAATGAGTTTTACCCGTAAATTTTTTGATTCAAAATCACTCAATATTTGCGATACTGGTATTCGCTAGTGATTATTATGATTCATAATCCATAATGATCAATACGACCAGATGGATTAATAATGATTTAAAACGACCAACAGCAAACATACACGATGATGATTATTGATTGCATTTAGCTGATTCGTTGTATATGATTATTATTAGTTTTTTTTTCTTCAATCAATATTTACACACCAACACTAATAACAATTAATTGATCCAATTCGATTTGTGGATTTACTTTTGAAAATCTTTTTTTTTTACTTTATTGAATTTGTCCTCCTCCTGTTATATTCATATAATAATCATTTTGATTTTTGGTTTCGGCTTGTCCAACGTCATCAATCGTTGTCATGGTTGGATTGTTGATTGATGAAAATCCGTAATGATCCAAAAAAAATTTTTTTTTTTCATTGAAGACAATCATTATCATCGATGATGATGGTGGTGATGATAAAATAATTAGGCCACAACGATTCTGGAATTGGTATAGATGATAAACAATCAAACACAACCACAACGAACCAATCATTGGCCTCAAAATGAAAAAAAAACAATCACACCAGAGAGGGAGAATGAATGAGAGAATGAGAGAAAGACCAGAAACGACTATAGTAGTAAGCCTGTCGTTCCCATTTTTTTTTGTAGATTTTAATCTTACAATTTTTTTTCTGGATTATAATCTCATGTGCACACACAGCTCCAAATACTTGTTGTTGTTGATGGTGGTGGTGAAACCACACCTTAGATATTAGAATGATAAAAGATGCCTATTGGAAAACCTATAAATCGAAAACATATCTACACACACACACACACATATCATTCATTCATTTTTTTTAAAGAAAAAAAACCACAAAGAATTTGTGTGGCCAAAAAAGATTCCTATTGATATGAAAATGAAATAAAGAGTTGAAAGAGTTAGATATCAATAATATGCATATGATATCAAAAAAAAGGTTTCATCATCATCATCATCATCATAGCCCTATAGGCTTTATATATTTTTTTCCCCATAATCATGACCTCATTTTTTGGTCAAGATTAAAGTGATATAATCATAGTGATAATAATAATAAAAATAAATAAATGTGTGTTTAGACATCATCATTGGAATTCAAATAAAAAGAATAGCAATGAAATGATTGTGTAGTATAAATATAATATGGAAACAAACAAGCAGAAAAAATGTTTTTTTATATCTCGTATTTATTGCACGTGTTTATGGATAGATTTACGTGTTTGTCTTATAACAGAACGACGAGATGAAAAAAAATCAATATTCACATCATGTGTACGCGTGTTTTATGATGAATCATTAGTGGTAATAATCAATGATTTTCAATTCTATTTTGTTGAAACATTATGTTTGTGTGTGTGTGTGTGAAAATCTAAATTTGACACAACATTATTTTTCTTCTTTTCTGGCAGCATAATTCCAATATACAAAATCGTCAATTTCGAAATGATTTTTTTTTTATTTGTTGAATATGAATATTAAAAATTGTTTCTCAATCAACGTTCGATCGAATACAACATATCGTCATCATCATCATGGTTATCATGTTTCACCCATTGATGACTACGACATGATGATGATGATTAATTGAATATATCAAAAATTTGTTTTTTTTTCATAACATCATCATCATCATCATCATCGTGGAATAACATTGATTTTTTTTCTTCTTCTGGTTGTTGATGTACAACAATTTTTTTTGTGCTGTAGAAACATGAATGATTCACTATTGATGAAAACGGTAAATGATGATGATGATCATTATTTGTTGATTAATCACAAAATAATCAGCAGTGATGATGATGATGATGATGGATTAATTCAAACCGAACAAAACAAAACAATTCGATCAATATAGAGCCATCGATGGTTGTTTGTTTTTCTTTCTATTTCAACTTGATATTATTTGTTTAAATGCTTATCATGTGTGTGATGATTTTGAATTTAATTTCTGTTCAAAATTTCATCATCATCATCATATGTTTTCGATTGAAACTGGTGAATTCATACAACACAAACACAATGATGATGAACCTTGAATTAGGATTGATTGATCCGAATAAACAAAAATAAAAAAAAAGTGGCCACAAAGATCAAAAAATATCTTTTGATGATTTTGACAAGTGTAAAATTTAACTATTTATTATCAGGCATTTATTGCCTCATCAATATCGTATTACGTTGTTGCTGTTGTTGTTGTATTAATCCAAATAAATTGAATTGAATGGTTCAGTCATCGTAAATATTCGATCTGA